TTATCCTACCCCGGCAGAGGAACCCGCTTAGTGAGCTGGCCGGAGGGGCAAGTCATGAAGAGGTAGCAGCCAGCGAGAGAGGGGCTGCGGGCTGAGAGTGCCAGAGAGTAACAGGATGCAACCACTGGAAGGGGCGTCAGCCAGGCAGAGGTAATCCCCAGAGTGGCCAGGAGGAGGCGCCGTCGATCGGCAAGCAGAGCACCCAGTGACAATAAGTCGTGCAAGTGATTTCATCCCCTCACATGGCCTGGAAGCCTGGGCCGGAACCGCACCACATCCCCCTTTCCCGCCCACAAACGCACCCGCTGTATTTGGGGACGGTTTGAAACGACCTGAGACTTCAGGCAAGGCAGGCGAATAACTCCAAGAGCTTGGCTTTATTAGACGTTACCCAGTAGCACCTCAAGGCCCTGACTGAGACGGGGACCCTGGTGCTGCACAGAGCCCAGCTGAGATCAAGGTGCCCCTTTACTCTGGGAGCGCCATCTTCACAGTGAGAGTCAAGCCATGCGCCAAACGGCTCCCAGTATAAATAGAAAATGGCAGGATAATTATCCCATTACAAGTGGGGAAATTGAGGTGGAGAGAGACTCAGCCCCTCCTGCTCTAATGCACTAGACCCCACTCTCCTCCCACTGCTGGGAGAGAACCCAGGAGTCCTGGCTCCCAGCCCCCCATGGAGGCTCTGAAGGGATGTTCCAAGTCCAGCGTGTCACGTTGGTGTGTGGATCTGGAGCAGCCCATGGGGAGGGAATGTAGGCGGGGCTATTGTTTGGGGGCGTTGAGGGGAGCGGAGGCATCATTCTGGGCTGGCTCGGCCCCATCACCCTCCAACCTCTGCTTGTACTGGCGCTTGAAGAAGCCGAACTGGAAGGAGACAGAGAGGGGAGAGATGGTGAGAACCAGCCAGACAGGAACAGCTGGTGGGGGGGATGGGGATGGGGTGTGGGAGCCCACAAAGTAAATACCCTCTCCCCTCTCCCACCAGCTGGGAGAGCCACAGGCCCCGCCCCCAGGGTGATGGGCAGTGGGGGAGGGGTCCAAGCCCTGCCCCCCTCACCTTGTAGAGGGCTGCGGTGATGAGAGCCAGCAGGACCAGGCCCCCCACGCTGCTGCCCACGATGATGGGCAGGTAGTTATAGACCTCAGAGCGTTCCACCACCGTCTGCACCTGGGGGAGAGGAGCTGTGAGATCGGGACCCAGGAGTCCTAGCACCCCGCCACCCCCATTGTATCCACTCGGTCTCACTCCCCACCAGAGCCAGGGAGAGGACACAGGAGTCCTGACACCATCCACCCTCCCTCTTCTAACCCACTGGACCCCACTCTCCCTGCAGAGCAGAGACAGGACCCAGGTGTCCTGGCTTCCAGCTCTAACCACTAGCCGATGCTCTCTCTATCCCAGGCACAGTCACTCTGGTACCTGGCGCTGGACGAATCCCTCCTTCTGGGTGTATTTCTTCTCCTCGTATTCAATCTGGGCCTCGCTCACCAGACTCACTTTCTGCTGCTGAGTCTAGAACAGAGAAATTCACCGTCCCTGACCGGAAATGACACAAACCAGCCCAGAGCATCATCCCAGGGGGACCCAGAGCAATTTACAGGCTGTTCACATAGGAGCAATCCCTTGCCCAGCACTGAGATGCAGCCACATCTGGGGAGGGGAACAGGAGTTGTTCACACAGGGGGCAGGGATATCCCTCATCTGGTGCTGGTAGGCAGAGGCAGCTCTCATACCTTGGAGACCCACTGGAAGCTGACGTTCCCTTTGATCGTAAACTCCACCGGCTGCTGCATTTTCAGGGAGGCGATTCTGCACCGGATCTTCTTACAGGTGGCCACGGAGCAGTCCTGGGGGTGGAAGGATATCGCCGGGTGAGGTAGGGGGCGTGCAGGGGCTCAGCATGGCTATGAGGGTCTGGGTCTGTCTATAGCAGGGGTCCCTCTCCCAGCCTAGCCCCCCACTTGCTGTCTGTTGGTGCGGAGGAGAAGGGGCTGCTGGATCCATGCCAGCCTGTACTCACCAGCAGGGGGTGCTCGCTCATCTGCTTCACAAAGTCCTTTGAACCGGGCGTTTCAGCCTCACTGGCGCACTGAGCCAGCTCGGGCTGGGGAGGGAGAGAGACACGGTGTTAACGGGGGCGGGAAAGGGACACGGGGCCTTTCCCCTCTAGGGGGCACCGGCTCTAATCCGGCCCTAGGACAGGTGACTGGCTGGTTTAGGGGGTGGAGACATGGTGTGTTTCCCCTTTAAACAGCCTGTCCCAGCAGGGGGCGCTGTAGGGCAGAGCAGGTGTCACTGGGCCCATCTCACACACACACACAAGGGAGGGAGAGGCAGGTACCTTGGAGGGGACGACCTCAGAGGCGTCCCACACCCGGACCCCGCTCAGCTCCACGGGGAACTGGAACGTGACCGAGATGGGGACGCTTCTCTGCCGCAGATTCTTGACCTGAAAGAAACAGACTCGCCATAGGGCACTGCAGGAAGAGAACCCAGGAGCTCTGATCCCCAGATTCCGCTCTGACCCTCAGACCCCACTTCCCTGCCAGAGCTGGGGATAGAACCCAGGAGTCCTGGCTCCCTGCCCTGCCCCACCGCCACCCTTCTGTGCTTTAATCCACTTGATCCCATTCAACCAGTTCCACTCCCTCCCTCTTTCCCCATCTCCCCCCTCACACTCCGTGTCGCCAGCCTCACCTCGTACCGATGTGTCACTGGCACACTTGTCCCTTCCTCCTTGGAGGAGAAGTTGACGTACTTGGTCGACTCCTCGAGACTGGGGGAAGAAAAGGATGGAAGGAACGAGAGAGGCGGGAGTGTGATGGATGGAGCTGGAGAGTGGTGGTGGGGTGTCATGTCCAGAAGGGGGCGTTGTGCTACAGGGAAGGGCTCAGTAGGGGACGCTCTCACCTTGCAATCAGTGCTGGCACCTATGACCCTGTGCGGCACTAGGGGATGCTGTGCTGCAGGGAACAGGGGGCCCAGCAGGGGGCGCTCTCCCAGCTGTCTCCACACTGACCTACCTGGTGAGGATGATGAAGATGCCGTACTTGACTGGCAGCTCCGCCCGGTGACTCATGCGCTCGGTGGTGGGGCCGCCATTGTCACTGCAGGGAGGGGAGGGCAAAGGAGAGAGATGTGAGGAGACACAGGCAGATAACTGTGCAGGGAGACTGCACTATAGGCCACTGCCCTGTCCTGCTCCGTGCACAGTCCCCACCCCACCCCCTGGCCCTGCACAGCCCCCTCACCTGCTGGCCTTGGCCGTCATCTGCAGCCTGTCCCCCAGGTCAGCCTCAGAGGACACGTCGAAGGTGGCGATGAAGATGGCCTGGAAAACACACGGGGGTAAAAGTCAGGGCCTGGGGAACTGCCAGAGACTGCGGGGGTGGGACAGGCACAGTGGATCGGGGAACTGTTGTATGAACTTAGATGGAATAAATGGGCCCAGAAAAGCAAAGGTGTTAACATGACCCTGTCCCTGCCCAACAGCGTTAACAGTTTGGGGTTTGGTATCCAGAGACCTCAGCCGGCTTCGTGCCGTGGCAACACCCCATTCACCATCCTTTTATTACAGACACAGAAGAAATCAGCTAAGGCCTTTGCAATGTAACATGTTAAATGAGGCTTTTATCCTCCCCCCTCCCCCCTGTGCCTATCGCTGGAGAGAGCGTTTTATCCTCCCCCCACTGTCTGACCGATAACTGGAGGCAATACGTGGCCGCTGGGGGAGGAGAGGAGGTTAGTGGAGGGGCTGGAGCCGGCCTGGGCGCTGTGGTTAAAGCCCAGCCCCGGTTCCCAGGGGACAACCCGGCAAAGGCCCCAGTGGGGAGAGCAAAGAGCAGCACAGAGAGAAAATGCAGCTTCTGCTGCGGCTGCTGCCTCTCGCTGGCAGCCCCCCCGCCGCAGAGAGCCCGGATCAGCCGCGCCGAGAGCTGGCAAGCGGTACCAGCCTCGGGCTGGCGCAGACGCTGGATTTAGCCGCCGTCCTGGGTGCAGGCTCACAGCAGCGAGCACAACGCACAGGCTTGGCCGGCTCAGCCAGACGCTCCTTAGACAGAGGGGAGCGGGAAGAGAAGAAATACGGCGGGGAAGGGAAGGGGCCCATGGGACGGGGGTGGGGAGACAAAGTCTCCCGTCCCAGGTGGTGTCTGGATCTCATTGGGGGCAGGGGCAGGTGGGTCCCTCTCCCTGGCCCTGGCACGGTCGGGTCAGGACACCTCTCAGGATCAGGATGACGAAGGCCCAATGGTGTCACGCTGGGTCCGAGGGGACGGGTGCGGCGGCAGCCATGACAATGACGCTGGCTCCTTCCCCTTTCCTTGTCTTTTACTGAGCCATGGTCACCCCCCCTCTCCCCCTCACTCCCGAGTCGCTTCTTTTAAGGACCCCAAAGGGGGAAGGGAACAGCCCCTCCACTTGTTCTTTTCTCCCCCAGTGAGGCCTGATTTCCAGCCCCCCAAGTCTGGCCCTTGGTTTGCAGTCCCGGCAGGGCCTGACCCCAGCCCCGGAGTGACCTCAGGGCTCTGTTTGCACTGACTCGCCGGGCTCCCCGGGGCGCTTTCCCCAGCACATCTCTTGTCATGGGCTGGGCTGACCCCAGGGAACTGCCCCTCTCTGCTCCCAGCTGGGCTCACCCCTGGGGAGTTCACAGGCCAGGGCCCGTCCCTACCTCGGCCCCGCTCCAGAAGATGGGATGGTTGATGTGGCAGGTGCTGTTCCTCTGAGTCTGCTCCTCGGAGCCCACGGCCGAGTTGCACCTAACGGCCATGGCCCTCCTGTTAGACTGAACATGGGAGACCAGCCAGTGAGAGATGGGGCCACAGCGCACCCTGCTGAGCCCCCCGCCCGCTCCCTGCAGCACAGCGCCCCCTGCTGAGCCACTCCCCTGCTCCCTGCAGCACAGCGCCCCCTGCCGAGCCCCCTGCCCGCTCCCTGCAGCACAGCGCCCCCTGCTGAGCCCCCAGCCTGC